CGCTGGCGCGCTCTCCAGTCTAATTAACGCGTGTCGCAGCGACTGCAGCCGCTGCAGCCGCTGCAGCCGTGCCAGGCACCTGCCGCTGCGCCAGCCGCTCAGGCCCGCTCATATTCTCTGCAGCGCGCGGCCCCCTTTGGCTGGTCGCCAGCGCGCCCCCCGGGCCCTGAGGGACCTGCTGCGGGACTGGGAGTCACCGTGCCGCTGCCGCCCGCCCTGCTGCCCCGGAGCGCCCTGGCCCTGCCCGCCCCCGTCCCGGCTAAACACACTCGCCGTTACTCCGCATAAAACTCTGCGCATATTTCTCCCGTTATTGCCGCCGCCGTGGTTTGTCGCTCGGCCCCCCCTCTCCTTTCTAACGCTCTGCGTAACGCTACGGCCAGCCAACGGTAGGAATTGAATCCGTTCTCATCTCCGTGCCGGGGATTCCTGTGTGTGGTTCCGCCCCGTGCTGTCGTCCGACGAATACCGCAGCGGAAACCGTTTTTCGGAACGACGCGGAAATGAACCTCCACCTCGTACTCTGTGTTCCTTCTCTCTCTCTCTCTCTCTCTCTCTCTCTCTCTCTCTCTCTCTCTCTCTCGTCTTAGCCTTCTTGGAATTGCTTTAGAACCTTTAGGTTACACCACACTCGCGCGCACGTTGGAATGAGAGCACAGCGACGCAAGCTGTCCGTCCAGCCGTGTGGCTTGATTAATCGGCCAGGGTCCATACTGAGTTTCTTTTGACCCCTTTTAAAAAAGGTAAGAAAAAATACTTTTACGTGCAACGTTACAAGCGGAGATGTCCCATCGAATGACAGTCGTCACTGCGCGTCACTGACACGGCGCGGGGTGGCTCGGGTGCACGCCGCGCCCCGAACGGGGGATTCCTCAGCCGCAGTCTCGCCCGTAAAACTGCCGCTACATTTAGTCCAGGTTTGAGGGTGAGGCCGGCGAGGGCGGCCGGCCGAGACCCGGGCGAGGCGCCGTCGACAGATCGTAAAACACCGGCGCTATGCGTGGCCGACCCGGCCGGGGCGGGCGGGGACTCCTGGAGGAGCCAGGAAGGGGCTCACCGCCCTTGCCTTACATCGTAAAGGAAGCCCACCTGCTGCTGCGTTCAGAAACGCGCTCCTGAGATTTTGCACTTGGGCATCTCTATCTCTCTCTCTCCCCCTACACCGCCCCCTTTCCCCGTGACTGCGTCCAGGGAGAACTATCACTCTCTCGCTCGGCTCCTACCTCTCGTCCAGTAGATGACGTTTTCTGAGAAAAAGAGACGGATGGGGGAAAGAAGGGGGGTCGGAGAGAGAGGGAGAGAACTGAACACGGAGACGGAACCTACCTGAGCTGCCACATCCTGCCGTGGCGCCCTCGCTCGCCGGTCACGGAAGGACGGCTGCAACCCGCTCGGCTTGAGGCCCCCGACCGAAGCCCTGGCTGAAGCGTGGGCAATAAAAGCGGTGCACTACTCGGGGAAATTATTTTCTACTCTGCCACCGCCGCGCCTGCTGCCTGCAAGTTTGTTAGCGGCGGCGGGAGTTCGGTCGGGTCGGGGTTGTAAAGGACGCGAGAAAAGCCCCTCCCCTTACTTGCTTCTTTCTGGCATCAGCTTTAAAATTTGAACGCGAAATATGAACGGCCATCAACAACGGCTTTATACACCTTTGTCACCTGCTACCTGTCGAAAGCGTGCTGTTATTTTCTGCTGCAGTTTTATTTATTTTTTTAAACCAACGATTTCGCCCCGCCTTCCCATCACGTTTGGCCCCCTTTCGCCGCGCATTTTTGCTGCGGTCCGGCGTGTGAAGTTATTGCTCGAGTTCCGATCGGGGCGTTGCGCGGTCCGGTCCAGCCCGGGCCGCTGGGGTGTGCGGCCTGCACGTCCAGGTCCAACAGGGTGCGGCAGCCGCCGGGCGATTTTAGCTCTCCACCCCGCCTCGCCCCGCCCCGCCCGCCACACCCCGGGTCGGTATTCTATTTTATCGGCGGAGCGTAAGGTCGTCGTTGGGGCCCTCTTTACAGTGCGGGTGTGTCCGAGAGGGCTGTCCCGGGCCGGGCTCTGCCGGGCTGCCAGAGGGGAGTGTGTGGTGTGTGTTACGGAGAGTCTTTTTGTCCGACAGAAAACAGTCTGTCCGGGAGCGAGCAGCCGCGGCTGGAATTGGGAGTGCGAAAAAGGGGGTACACTGGGTACACTGAGAAAACTATAAGTCGCTAAGTCACGTCCGAAGAAATGTTTTGAATATTTTAGCACTATATTAGGGGCACAACAAAAACGTCTGATATGTGTGAGGTGCATGCACTTGGCACATTACAAAGTACCCACGGTGGCAAACCGGGTGGCCAAAATTGGTTAATTTTCGTCCTGCCTTATTTACTCTCCGCCCGGCTTGCCCACCCCATCAGTGTGATGTTTCACGCACCCGTTTTCCCGTCTCTCGGACACACCATCTTTTTCTAAAGCCGGCTGCGGGGCCAGGGTGCTGCCCTAGCACTACCAGCCAACTTGGCGCTTGGTATACTTTAGATTAAAACTTCCTGATTCGGGTTTGCCTAGGCAGCGTCGGCAGCGGCCGTTGGCCGTGCAGGGCGGTCGGCTTTTGACTTTATTACAACCCGGGTGAAAAAACATTGACAGTAAGTTTGTATACAGAGGTGTACAGGTAATTGTATAAAGCTGTATAAAGGTAATTGTATTATATTTGGTAAAACTGTATTACTTTGTCAGTATACCTTTTTATAAAATATTATACAATGTATACTTGAGCGTTTCAATTTACTCACGGGAAAAGCGGCCTGAGTGGGTGGCTGTCGGTTTTCGCAAATATGTTTTCCGAATCATCTTTTTACCCTGAGCACGATAGTGGTTATTTCACTTCCCTATGTGTAGCCGTTTACAAGTTATGCTGCATTTTAGAACTCAACCACATTTTGCCTACATTTAGGGGAGTGCCCAGAAACGTTACTTGTCACTGTTTGAGTGTATGTGCCTGTATACATTCTAATGTAGGGCAAGGTGACATTTATTCACATGTATGTGGCTGTATACATGCGTGAGGTACAACGATGCTCTAATATACGTCGCTTTATACATGGCACGTTTATTTTATATACATTGTATTTGATTTTATAAAAACGTATACATGCCTCTGTATATAGTTGTATAAGGTTTTACCAAATATTATACACATTTGTCAAACACTCTTTATATCGTTATATTACGGTGTACACACTCATATTCAATTTTATAAAAGTATATAAATTGTAATAAAATTTCTTAGTGAGTTGTATACAAACCGTTTCACCCGGGAAGTCTGGCTGACCGCGTCTTCTTGTTCAAAGTCGCATCAGTGGCCGCTCTGCTGTTGCTGACGCGCGCGGCCTCCTCCCTCCAGCCGAACCGTCGCGTTCGCGAGCGCCTACGATGACTTGGGCGAAAGGCGTTCCCAGCTAGTCAAAAAGGCCCGAAAGGGGCGGGCAGGCGAGCGAATCTTTCCCATTACGGCGAACGGACTGAACAGACTTAAGCCTCTAAGCTCCCGACAGCACTGAATACACGGCGGTGAGGCTCGGTGCAAGGCGGGGGGGGGGGGCGCTAAGGAACTCGCCGCCTGCTGTGTTTTGAGCGTCAACTTTCTCATCTTGGTGTCAGCGCGCAGTAATTGGCCCAGACTTTCTTCTTCTTGTTCCACCTCGCCTCTCTCTCCCTCCCTCCACCCACCCTCTTCCCCCTCCCCTCCTGCCCTACAGCCCCCTTCTTAAGCTACCGACGAGGCGTGGGCGACGCCGCCACTCAGACGAGATTTGCCAACGGCCTATGCGCGTAATTGCCAAACGAGCTTGTGGCGCCGTCAAGCGACTTGGCGGCATCGCTTGATCCGATTATTGAATCGGCTGCTGTGTGGAGCGTGTGTCTGGGCGGCCTGCAGCCCGTGGTGTGTCTGCAGGAGTGAGGGGGGGGGGTGCGATTCAGTTGGATTGGAGATTATGTGGCTTTGCGATGATTATGCACCGCGAGGTTTACGAACAGCAGTTGTGACGGGGTGTGATGTACCGCATTGGAAAAGGGGGGGGGGGGTTGAAGAGGGGGAGAACGGTGTGTACGTATCAACGGAGTTTTGGAGGAAAAGGAGAACAAATCGAGGAAATGAAAGATATTTTTTTCCCCCGACGAAATCCTATCAAAGCGCGGAGGGGGCCGTGGTGGGGCCCGGAGGAGCGGAAGCGGAAGTGCCGCCGGCGGTGGTGGCCGGAAGTGCCGCCCGGGCCAAAGGGACTCGCCGTGGTAGGGAGCAGGGGGCCGCGCCCGCCGTGCACATCCATCGGAAGGCTGCCCCGCTGCGGCCGCTCCGTCGTGACGGCCGTCTTGATCAGCTCCACGGCCCACGCGCGCCTCAGCCGAGCGTCACAAGCAGCTCGGCGCTGCACGTGTGGCGCCCGTAGTGAAACGCACCAGGCGCCCGGCTGTCATTACACCCCGTCCAATTTGGCCCGCCTGGCCTGGTAAATAAGCGGCTGGTTGAGGGGGGGGGGAGAGAACGCAGAGGGACAGGGTGGGGGATGCAATTGTATTCTCGCGAGGCGGGCCGGGCCGAGCCGAGCTGGGCTTTCGTCAATCGAAACCGTCCATATAGTCGGGCCGAACGTTTATCACGTTTGGCGGGCACGTCCATGCACTCTCTGTAGTGATGTTGTCTCGACGCCTAAAACAGAGTGACGGAATTTGTCGTTGCCAAATTAAAGCGATGTCCATTTCCCGTCACTCCTTTTGAGTGATGACTATGTGTCCATCGCTCCTGCTTGAGCGACGTTCGCGTCATTAGAAACAAGCAATGTTCCAAAATCAAGGAAAGCAATCGTCGCTCTGAGAGGAGAATCGAAACGGAAAGAACGTTTCGCTCTTCAAAGAGCCTGACTTTTCCATTTTCAGTGCTATGTTGTTGATGGTTGATAGTCAATGAGCATGGTTTGTTTATAGGATCCTGGACTGATTGTTGTTTTTCCCTTGTGTGCCCGCAGGTGAGCGACCCGGCCTTCCTGGTGGAGCACCCGCACCAGAAGCACGCGCACGGGCTGTACACCACGGTGCTGGGCCTGCGGCTCGTCATCCGCCCGCAGCACTTCCGCGAGGGCTCCATGGTGCTGCGCTGCGTGGCCACCGTCTCCACCGAGCTGTGGCGCTCGCACACCGAGGTGGTGCACGACGACGAGCCGCCGCACAACGTGCGCATGCTCGAGAACCGGGAGGCCTTCTTCGAGCGTGAGTATCTTATTTAAGGGGAGGCGACACTGAGAGTTTGAAACTTGTCGAATCTATAGTAGTAAATTTTGCGGAATTTTGAAATGGTTCTGATATGCGCAAAGACTCGTTTAAAAATGTCTGTTAATTTTTGCAGTTTATTTTAACATTTCTGTGCGCTGAATGTGGTGATGTAGAAAGCACAAATTAAGTTTGGAAATAAGTACTAACTAGAAACCACGTTTTCTTTGATCAAATGTTGTCATACATGCGTTAATAAATTTGACAATTTTTAAAATTCTCGCAGTTATTTTATTTTGGCTCACCCCATGTGCAGCTGCGGGCCTGGCTATTCTCAGGGGCCGCCGTGCCTTGCGAGTATCAGAAGGAATAGGCAAACCCGCTCGCACAGTTGGTTGCCAAAGAAACCTCCGGGTACCTCTTCCCTCGCTAACGGCCACTGATCTTCTGCTTCCAGTGAAGGGTGGCGGTGGTCCTCGCCTGGCGCCCGCCCTGCCGCTGCTGGTCCTGCTGGCACTGCTCCTGGCCACCTGATCGCCCGGCGCCCTGCTATACGCCAACCGAACCCTCGTTATTTGACAAGCTTCGTTCGAATCTCGATGTGTGCGTTTATGTTTGTGTGTGACTGTGAGATTCGTCAATTTCTCTTCAAGAGCGTCTGGCATCTCCCCTCTGTCTTCCGAACGCCCCGCCCCGCGCGCCTCCGCGAAGCGAGTAAGGAACCAAAAGTTTTCGTCGAGGGGAAAAATGTTCGGTTCCGAAAACAACGACTGAATAGCTTAATAATTTTTCTAAAAGTGTAAGAGTAAAGCGCAGACAGGGCACGCTGTGTGTTACAGAGTTGTGTGTACGGACGTGCGTGTGAGCATGTGGCGTCACCATGTGTGCCAAAACCTGTTACGCGTCGACACGTTTAGAATTACCTTATACACAAAGCTGCAATAAAAACTTGACAATGCCTTGTAAACGTGTAAAAATATGTTAATTACAACGCAGACCTCTTAATTTTATTCGCAAATACGTGTACAGTACTCAAACACGCTTACTATTGTGGTCAGCCATAATTTGTGAGAGAAATGCTGTTGCTGTGAACAAAGTTGGAAAGTAAAGTTTAATGATACTATTGATTGTAGCTATATGTGAACCATTCTGTTCCATAATTTGCAATATTTTTCGTGTTGAGGCCTACAAAATAGATGTTTCATTATTTTGACGTGTGTGAATCAAAGCTACCAAAGTTTATAGAAACCGTTATGAGTCAAACCTCTGTGATTATATTTGTTTTCAATAGGTGGTTGTTATTCGATCTGGATTTTCAGGCTAAATGTTACTTTATGTAAGAAATAATTCACTCTGTGCATCCCCTTTTTCTGAGCTTCCTATTCCTTTGTAAATTAGATTGCAGAACGTTTTCTGTCATTAGCTTGCATTTTTCCCACTCTGTACCTGCTATGAAAACACCTGTAGTATAAGAAAAAGAATTGTCATTGAAGTAGTGAAATGTAATGACTTCTTGCACACGCAACAATATCACAATGTGTATATATAGTTTGTAATTTTTTGTACAAACATGTAAATAATGCCTTGTACAGTAATAATAATTAGAAGGTGTGAAGTAATTGTACATTATTCTAGTAAATATCTACAGTTCAGTTTCTGACACGATTTTGCTTTCATTTTGTCGTTCAACAAAACAAGCAGCTTTGGGAACATTAACTGTTACACTACCTTTCCTCCAGCGCATTACATACCTATTCTTTGCTATCTACGAACGTTGTCTACTTTCTCCATTTCCTTTTGTAACTACGGAATATTTTTATCAAATCTTCCTGCAAAAAAAAATGTTTATATCCCAAGGGGAAATAAAGTTTTCTTTTGTTGCTGAATGACTGTTCACTCTTCCTTTTTTTGGCCGTGTTCCGAATTGGCCGTGCCAGCCAGGTACACAAAGAGCGTCCCCTTGCGTCCCCAGCAGGGCGGAAACTCAGCCACTTATCCCGTCCCGGCCGGGCGGACCCCAGCAAAGGGCGGACCCGCCCGCTGCCCCTCAAGTCCTTGTGTCATATGATTTATATTCAACCGGAAAATTAAATCTTTGTGCTCAGGAGGATGGCTCCTAGAGCGGTTCCGGCGCGCGGCCGGAGGGCGTGAGGGTTCCTGCACGATTCCTCTCCTTTTTTTCCCACCACGGCTCCACTTTCTCCCCTCCGCACCGCCGAAATGAAAGGGCCCGCGTCGCCTCAATCACAGACTCGTATTATTTCCCGCCCCTTGTGCGCCGCAGGGCGGGGTGGGGGTGGTGCGGTGTAGCGCCGACACCTGCGAGGCGAGAAGGCTAAAAGGAATTAACACCCTTTCGACTTTGCCGCTACTCCCACACGCCATCATACGTTTCGAGAGGACTTCAATCTTTCTCCGAGTTTGAAGCCGTTTCAAGCCGAGTGGGGTGGCAGAAAAAGAGACGTCTTTACAGTCCGAAATAACATATTGAAAACTGCTGGATTTATATTATTCGCCGTAAAGGAGCACAAATCCATTTTCGTTTTCGTTTTCATCGATTCGATGGTTTATGTCACCTTCGACGTCGTTTCGACATCGTTTCGAGTTTACATTTCTGGCTGGGAGGAAACAATGCAAATGGTTTAGGAAGCGGTAAGAGGGACTATTTTGTCGATCTGTTTTTTTTTAACTGACTGATAATCTTACAATACTTACATCAAACTTCCAAGAAAAATGTTCACCGCTGTAACAGTAATGGTTGAATGAAGCGAATGACTTGTTTGAAAGTTTTACACGTTGATTCTCACGTGACCACACGTATGGGCACAATAAGCCGTGATTTCGAAAATTCTCGGCATGTTTTCAAATTCTAATAATTATTTTTGGGGGATTATTCGAGTCTCCTTTCACGCTAATTTTATCTTGACACCCCTCTTAAAATGTAGGAAAGGGTTGAATAATCATACAAATCTGTGCTCATTTACGTGACACTGTTTATAAAACAAGAAAGTAAATTGAATTGATTTTTTTTTTTTTTTTAAGTAGTCGCGCTAACCAGTTTTATGTGTCTCCTGAAAACTGATGACTTTAATGCTTTAAGGTGTACCCTTTTTTTTCGCTTTCTGGGCCAAGTGTAAAACAAAAGGTTCCCCAACATGAAAATAATTTCTACTCGCGCACGATTTTGGTCGCGAAAACTGATGTAGCACGGCAACACTCGTAGTGCCAAAGGAAGGAATGACGGATTGAAGAAGGAATCGCAACCTCGTTAATCTCATCCGCTGCGCACCTCGCCTCTTCTTGATCGTCCCGCGTGACGCGGCCCGAGGGGGAGGGGGAGACAAGGAGGCGCGCGCGCGCGCGCACACAAGCGTTACACTGCAAAGGAGAGAGTGACAGAGACGAATAGCGCGGGGATAGTTGGTGCTATTTGTCAGGGACATGACAGGTGCTGTCCGAACACACTTCAATCGCACACGCCATTCAGTGGGGGCAGAGGCGGAGAGCGGCGGCGCAGCAGCGACGGCGCACGGAAAAGAATAATCCAACCTGCTTCATCACTGCTGCTCCTTTCAGCGGGCGCGATGCGAGAGAGGGATTCCGTATCCTTCATCACGGAGTGGCTCCTCTTGTCCATCGTCGCACAAAAGCAGCCGCTAAAAGAAGGGCGCGGCCGGTGCTGTTGCTCTCGCCGGGCCCAGCCCAGCCCGACTTCCAGCTCGTCCCAGAAACAATAATAAGAATTTGCGCGCGTTGGAGCGGTCCATGGACCTCGTCGGGGGCCCCCTTAATGAATCATCGCCCGGCCAGTTGGTCAGGAAAATCAACAGGTCCGGTGGGGGATGCGGCCGGGCCGGGCTTCACCGGGCTCCGGAGCTTTGTGGCCGATCCCTGGCTGGTCCAGCGCAGCCTCCCCTCCCCAACCCCCTGCGCCCGGCCCGCCCACCCAGCTCCTGCAGCCGGAGCCTCAGCCCCACGGATCAAATTGGATTTGAGTCGGGAGGACGGCGATCGAGACGCACCCGTTTGTGTTGTTGGGGCAGTACACCGATGGCGCGGCGGAGCTCAAAAAATACAGCGTAATCTCGTTCTGATGGAGAAGGGCGAGTGAGAGAGTCGGGCGACTCAGACGTGGCCGCTGTCTCTCTCGCTCTCTCTTGCTCTGAAAGGAGAAGTTTCTTTTCTGTTGTACAACTCCTGGCAGCGACGACCTGCTGGTGCGGCGGGGCGGCCGACTTTTCTCTCTAGTTTTTTTCCCGCTGTTGCGGCAGTTTTAGAGGGGTGCATCTGCTGATGTATGAGCATCCGCAGCGATCCGCCCCCTCCCCCCTCATCCCCTTCCCCCCGGATCTGCTCCGCGGGGCCCTGGGGGCCGCGCCCGCCCGCCACGCCCCCGCTGTACCTCGAGGAACAAAGTCAAAAGACATTAAGATGCAAAGGGGTGCGAAATGAATGGAGACGTTGGGAGACGGCTGGCGCGGCCTGGCGGGCTGCCTGCTGGGCGGGGCACGGCGTGCCGGCACGCTGCTGGGCGGGGTGGGGCTGATGGCTCTGTTCCACTCCTCCGGGTGGAGCTGCGGGGGCGTGCTGGCTGAGGTTAGGAGTCGCGAAGTTGAGCCCGGCTGATTTACATTGGGCTGTTGAGCGCTGTACTTGATGCTGTACGCAAACAGCGGAGCGAATACATATGCCAGGGAGAGAGAGGGGGCGGGGGGCAGAGAGTTTGTCCTTGATAAAATGAGAAGGGCGGATTTTCCCCGGAATCCCCAGTAGATTTCTGGCGGGCCGCTGCTGTGCTGCGTGCTCCGCGGCGACCCTGAAAGTCTTTCCGTCGGGGCGGACGGCGGCAACGCGCCGCGCCCGGATACGCAGCTGCAGACCGCGCCGCGCTACGCGAAGCGACGCGCCGGGGGATGACGGCCCGGCCATGTTTCTTCATTTTCCTCTCTCTGAAAAAGCAGGACTTGTTAACAGAATAGTGATCCGGAGCGCCGCGGCGGCTGGGGCCGCGCCCGGGTGTGTCGCCCGGGAGACTGCGCCGCTACAAGAGGCGGAGAACCGTCTTCATGAGGCTGTGAATTAAAAATGTTCAACTTAACATTGTCGTTTCTGTTGCGGGGGAAATGCGTTATACCACGAAGAAGCTAAGGGGATAAAAATTAAGACAAACTCGAGAGATTAAATATTTTCTCACAGTGGGTTGTCTCTTGAGAATGTAAACGCACGTATCGGAGAGAGTGGGGGGGGGGGGGGGAGGGCAGAGAGAATTATTGTGGTGGAACAGTACTGTATATTCGCTCGAAATCGGAAAAATAGCAGCCGCCCTCCCTACAACGATTATGAGTCGGCATCCAATGGAGTGCCAGTTATATCTGGGAATCTGAAGGGCGAGGCGCGCGGCCGAGAGCCCACAAATCAAGACCGGGCCCTTCGAGGCCTTCATTTTAATCGGGAGTAATCGGACACGCCGTATTTCACTTCCGGTCGTCTGTAATTGCGCGGAGCAGCCCCTTATCTCCTGGGAAAGTAATGGCGAAGGTGTCGAAGCAAATAATAAAGATGTGCAAAATGGTTTGGTACGACATTTTTCGAACCTGCATCTCCGGAAAGCAAGGGCTGCTTTTCTTGTTACCGTTGTAACTGAATGTTGTGATGATAGAAAATCACAAATGACACTCCAAAGATGGCGCCTCTCGCCTGAGGTCATTGTGCGATGGCCAGAGCCCAGCACTTTCTAATAAACACGCCACAAGCAATAGAGTAGCTCGGCCCCTTGCTCAACTCACCCCTCTTCCCACCACTCTCCCCTCGATACAGATTGCCCCTAATCACCCCTGCCTTCCAGCATGAGCTTACGACCCAAGTGGGCCAGCGGCGGGCCGAGTCAACTAGTCACCTCGCACGAAAACGTCGACCGCGGCGAAAATATTAACGACCCGACGGCTAGGGGTGACCCCTGCCCCCCCCCCTCTCTCTGCTCCATCAGGTATCCTCCCCTCCCTCCCTTCCCGCTCACTACCTATCACTGCAGTCCATTACGCGTGGGAGGGACATCAAAGCAGGACGTGTCGTGTAATACCGTGCGCGCCATCCTCTCTAACGTGGGGAATGGGAAAGGAAAAAGTAAAATATAATGTTTGACCCCCTGAAATACTTTCCACGCAGCCGGTCCCTCTCGGGCTGCGCGCCGCCGTGACTAATAGTACCCGACGGGTAATTCGGCGAGTGGCGCCGCCATGAGGCCGCGCGCCGCGGAGGAGAACGCTGACGCGAACCAAGCGGCTAAAGGTTTTTGCAGTGGTGAGACTTTATACCCCCTGAGCCGGGGAGCGAAGCGGGAGGCCTGACGTGGGTACCAAGGAAGAAAAGAGCGCGCTGGCCCCCGGGCTGGCCACGGCAAACAACCCCCTCCTCCCCTTTACCCCCACCGTGCCCCACCCTCCCTCCTTCCCCCTGACGCGGTGCGGGACATGGGAGATGACAAATGGGCTGTTTGCGACAAAGGTGCGAGCGCTTGACCGCCTGACGTTGATTGAACGATTAGGCCCCTTCTGGAGGCAGGCCTCACCAGGGGCCTAGCGAGCGCCTCCCCCCTCCCAGCCCTCCCGACCGGCCGCTAGGGGGCCCCCTGCCCCGCAGCGCGGGCCCCCCTAACCTAGAAGCGGTGGGGTTAGGCAACGGCCACCGGAGATGAACTCAGTAATCAAGAGAACAATATTATAACACTTGATGTCGCAACTGAAAACGTTGCCAGACAGTTAATAAGCTGCAATGGTTTATCCCTGAAATAAGTTTACGACGGTTAGACTTTCGGACGACTTCGTGTTGCGCCCAGCGCACGGCGCCTTCAACATAGGCAGCACTTCCGTCTCGTCATTACGACTCG